ACACACCCTCAGCCTGCACACACCTTCAGCCTGCACACAGCCTCAGCATGCACACACACCCTCAGCCTGCACTCAGCCGCCTTCTGGCAGCACTACCACACCCTTCTCACCTGGGACTGGGTGAAATTTTACCTTCTCCGAACAAGGTATTGGGCCAGTGGGCTCCGTGGTGAGTAAGGTGCTTGCTCTAGACCTGAGTTCAATCCCTGGGACCCACATGAAATTGTCCTCTGACTTCCACACACATGTCATGGCATGTGCTGCTCCATCAATCACAAAATACATGCATTAATAATAAACAAAATAAAAATCAAAAGACAAGGAGTTGTTTTCCCAAGTAGCTGTTGCGGGAAGAATCAGATACATGAGACTAAAGAGATTGCTCTGGTATACGCTTGGGAACATCATTCAACTCCAGGGAAAGCAGGAGGTTGAGGAGGGAATGGAGGGGGTTCCTGACCCTGGCAAAGTCCACTGTCTGCCTTGCTGTTCTCCCAGCTCCTGGCGCCAGGGTGGGGAACCCACTGTTCAGTGAGCTTTTCACGTGTTGCATGGCTGGGCTTTGTATGTTGGAAAACAGCAGATCACTGACTGTATTTCCTGAGTTTGGCTGAGCAAATCTATCTATATATATTAATGTGTGTGTGTGTGTGTGTGTGTGTGTGTGTGTGTGTGTGTGTGTAACTGGATCTTCCAACCCAAAGCTCCACAGATGCCAGACAAGTGCTCTGTCACTGAGCTACACCCCCAGCCCACATATTACTGTTTAATTGTTAGGTGTGTGTCCTCATCAAGCCTGCCACCCTGCAGCCTTGATTCCGTTCCTCACACTGCCGTGGGAGGTGTTTGTCATGGGTGCCCCATCCATTCTACAGACAGGGATCCAAGCACGTGTCTAACATGCCAGAGCTGCAGCCTTGAATGCAGGTTTGTAGGCAACCCAGCTCTGGACTCAACAACTGAATGTAACTAAGGGATTCCTCTCCCAACCGAAAACAAAGTTGACTTCTGCTGAGTCTCATGAGGTGGCCACAGAAGTAACGCAGCTGTTCTTTGAGAACAAAGCAGCCCTGGACAACCGTGGCTGTCCGCCTGGTAAGTGTTACTGCTGGGTTCTCTGAGACTTTCTTCCCAAGTCCATGGTGAACAAGAAGAAGATCTCCACCCTTCCACCCCACACTCTGAGGAACTGACTATTGGAGGAGCCCGGTAGACGCCAAAAGGAAATCCGGTTGGCTTTTCTTTTGATTTTTTTTGGCTCTAGTGTGTTCTGAAAACACGCTTATATAAAGGGACAGGTAAGTACAGGAGAGTGAGTTCCAAAGGGCAGGTGGCCTGACTGCTCTTCACAGCTCGATGGCTGCCCCCGTCAATCCCTCAAAGCTTGGATGTGGTCAGGAAGGCCAAGTGTGGGATCTACAGGCTAAACTCATGAGTCCTCTTTCCTTCTCTTTCTTGAATCTGCTTCTCACAGCCATGCCCTACATTCACGTTCTCAGACAGAGAAGCTGTGCCTTGAACAGTTGGCAAGAAGACACCAAGGGGAAGGTGTGTGGTTTGGACATTGAGTTTTCCTGTCTACACCATGTAGCTAGCTCTCACTAAGCGGTGCCAACGGAGCACTCAGGACTGAACTTGTTTTTGGTCCCCAGAAGACACCAGGAAAAGCAGTTGGTTCCAACTACTTCTGCTTGCTTTTGCTGTGGTTGCTCATTACCCTGATCCAATGGAGGCCTGCCCCAAGAGCCTGGGATCCCTGA